AAGTCTTCTTTCACAATTTGAAAATTACTCATCATCAAAAATTCTTATCAACAATAGTTAATATATTTCCATATGAGATAAGTGTTACCAATGGACAGAGAACATTTTTTAATATTAAATAAAATACACTGAGGCAGAGACTTTGAAAGAATTCACTAATTCAAATTATTTTTGAGTATCATAAAAATAATAAATACACTTTAATAACATTAATATTTTGCCCACCCCAAAATATTACTCATGTCAAAGTATTATAAGAATTTTCTTTACACTTAAAACCACTACATACAGTTTGCTAATCATTAAACTGTGAATGATGTAATTTAGATTCATATAAAATGGATCAAAGTCTTTTCCAAGAAAATATACAAAAATGAGTGAAACATAGAAAGTGACAAATAATAAATCCTATAAATTTTTTTGAAAAGTTGAAATATTTCCTATTAGAATCTATTTGCCTCACTTACTATTGCTACTGTATAGCATATTAGAGTATCGTGCTGCCCATTTTTAAATTATGTGTAAGAAGCAAAGTTTATTTTGGTGTTGTCTACAATATTTTTATCCATGAGAAATTCTCCAGTTGTTGGTGTCACAACTGGTCATTTTACAGGGCAAACAGCCAGAAAACTGCAGAATCAAGTCTAGAAAAGAGCTCCTATGATGTTTTCACATTACTTAGTAATGAAGCATGATATCCATTCCTGGAGACAAGTTATTTAAATATAGCTTTAATCAAGTGTAACAAATTTTCTTAGCTACAAAAGAACTCTGATCTAATTTTACATTAGTTCTTTCTCTCATTGTTAGCAACAGGATGTACCAAGAGAAGGCTGAATTAAATGGGAGACTGGTTCACAGTCCTTTCCAGGAAAGACAGAAATGACACACGACATCTACACCAGCTACAAGCATGTGGGATTTCCATGTGTATAACGAGTCAAAGTAAATCTGAGAAGAAAATACACCAAAACCCAAAAATGGAAAGTGGGGAAAACAGTCAAAATTCATAGAATTTTAGAAAGAAGATCAAATAAAATCATCTATTTTAACATCCTTATTTTATAGGTGAGGAAATTGAGGCACAGAGAATGATACACAATTTCCCAACGTCAAAGCAAAGTCAAAAGAAAAAAAAATAAAGTTGATGAATAACATCTGCAGGAGACTAGAAGTTCTTCCTTATTTGATGGACCACATGTGTTAATAAGGTTAACCACATGGTGCCACATATTACAGGATGCTGCATTTAACCAGGAGATGTGACAGCCCAAAAGGAGGCAATGCAGTTCTTTATTGCTAGAGTATAAGCTCTTTGAAGGCAGTTTGCCTTGCACTAAATAAATATTCAATTTTTCATTTCTAGAATCACATTCTTAAAACCATCAATCCACCATTTTGTTTTTTAGTAGGGAATTCCTAAGACCTAGATAACTTTAAAAGAATAAAGCAATCAGTGTCTGAATACAACTATAAATACAGTACATTTTCTATCCCCCCACAAAGAAGAAAAATAATCTGCAAATAACTCCGACAAATATACTAGTTTAAAAAGTAGCAATGACAAGAAGCTTTAGTGGCTTTGTTTTGAAACTGACATAAGGGGAAAGGCTTCAAGACTCACTCCTGAGATGTTTGTTTCCCCATCGGATAAAAAGATAAAATGAAGACACAGCATTTGAGGTTCACTGAATTAATGCTGGGTTTTTTTGTTTTTTTTTTTTTTTTAACCTCTAGAGTACTGGGTTTAAACTGTATATGGCCTCTGTTCAATTTTTTAGTGGGCACAGGTCCATGTTCAAAAACCACCACATATGTGGGAACTATTCCCAAGCAATTGGTGCTGTGTGGTCAGAAATGGGACAAGATTGGCAATAAGAGTGCCAGAGGCCAGGACGCAGGTGCACTGCAGAGACCCATGCTAAAGTCCTAAAATCTATGTATGCTGGAATCATACCTAACTCTAGGGACTCAAATTGTTATTACTTTTTACCAGCATTTTTTAAAAAAATCAACATCACCTTCTATTGTAAAAAAATCGATGGATATTACATAATAGCATCAACGATTTTACCATTCTATTATTAAACATTGTACTATATCTTAAATCTCATGCCAGAACCAACCCAGACATCCATTAAAGGTGGAAATACACAAGTACTCTTTCCACTGCTAGGATTTGGGCTTGGGCCCTTTTCCCTTCTCCTTAAAAGAAAAAAAAAATATTTTCAAGACATGAAAAAATACATAAAATAATAGTCTTAACCATCATGTTTCAACACAACTAGAAGACATGATGTAAATACTTGTCTTCAGTGTCAAAAAGTAAAAAGCATCACACCCAGCAGTTTCATGGGACTTCTAAATCAGCTGGTAGTCTTCATCACTCATACCAGTTTTCCAAAAAAGCATTTGGGAATATGCTGACAAGGTTTAGCAATGTGCAGAATATTAAATATCTTTCTTGCAATACACCGGTGGCTGAAATCTGTCTCTTACTTTGCCACATGTACAGCTGTGCTGGAAAAGGAAACTATTAAATATATTAAAAATCTAGAATTATTACCAATAAACATACCTCATCAAATACGTGGTCCCCATTTAGCCACAAAGAAAATGTTAAGGGTTTCATAACATATGAAAATTGCTTTGAATGCAATAACATCACAAGCTCTGTTGATAACATTTCAAAGCATTTTCCTCAAAAAAGTTCTAATCAATTTTATATAGACACTACAATATTAGGGCATTGCTCATAGCCAAATTTATTGTAAATGTGACACTGCCAAAGAAAGAAATAAAACAAGAAGAAACTTTAAAAAGCTATTTCATCCTTAGAACTTCGGGTTCACACTTGGGCCTACTTTAACTTGAAAAATTTATGTTCCAGAGGCCTACAGTACATTATTCCTCAATAAAAGTACTACTTAAGTACAGTAAGAAATCTGAAGTTACAATATACTTAAAAGTTTACATTCAAAACATTTTACACAGTACATACTGAGTCACCCCAAATTGGCAATTTGAAACAAATTCTTTGGTAATTACTCACTTCTTACTTTAAATTTGATGAAGAACCCTTTGGAGGAAACTGAATACAACTTTTTAATAAAAAAGTATCCAATAGTTTTCTTTTTAAAATCATTGATAAATATTTAACTTTACACTTTGTAAAAACTTTTTCTCCCTTTTAAAATATTCTCATCTCTTCAATTAGGTTAAATATTTACCATTTTTCTTCTTGCATTCCTAGTATTTTTTAACTCTACTTTTTTACTCAAAGTGTATTAAATCTTAGAAAAAGAACAGATTCAAAATAAAACAAAACACTCTGATCAAGAGAAGTGCACAGACAGATATGTTCAGAAAAAGTAAGGAGTAGTTGTTTTAAAATATAGTTTCAAATATAAAAAATTTAACATGAACTTAACAATATCATTATGGAAAAAAGTTTCTCAAAGGGAAAATAAATTAGTTACAACTGAAAGAAACACAAGGGCTGTTTTGGAAGTCTAAGTCGTCTTACAAATTCTACCCAATTTCCTCCCATTAATTCCATTGGTCTTAATTTTCTCTCAGACTAGAAATATTTTAAGAATGGGGTATATATATTTATTTGTTTAAAAAGCATACTATTTTTTCAATTTTAGATATAATTGCTTGTCCTAATTTGTATTGTAATTTTTAAATTGAAATTTATCTAAGTCAAGCATGAAAGTCACACTAAAAAGGCCATGTTTTATTGAAGAAGTCATTAAATCACTAAATCACAAGAATTTAATCACTGTCTGTAATCTTATAGCCGTTAATATGATCTAAACACACTAGTTTTGCAGAACTAATTCTGAAGTAATATAATAACAACTCTACTATAATGCAAATTCAGAGGAAAACATTAGTGGGTGCAGGATTGAGGTTTGTGTGCACTTTTAAAACTGTGTTTTATCTTTTAACAGCTTCATACCCTATCAAGATGTAATGACCCTAAAAAGAGGTTGGGCTAAAATAATAGACAACTGTGTTTATAATGCTCAAATTAAATACTGAGTTTTAAATTTGATAATTCATCTTTCCACAGCCACAGAGTTCAACATACATACAAACATTACATTGGCAGATTTAATTTTCTGATTTTCCATTTCATGAAAAGTTGTAATGTTTTTTAAAGATTATAAATTACACCTATATCAGTTTTAATTGGTCAACAATGAGATCCAAGCTTCTTATAAAAAGTAAAATAATGTTGATTTTCTCAAGTCATATTTACATTCTTAAAATCCAATCAAAATATTCAATAATAGATATTTACCTCTAACAGAGAGAATGGGTCATTAATCACTCCATTTAAAAATTGTTTCATTACAAGGACTATTTTTACTTCACAGTCATGCAAATAGCGTGCTTAAAACTGGCCATATTTCAATCCAAAAACCAATGCCCCCCCATTCAAGTAATTTTCAGGATCAGAAAATTCATAAATAAGTAAAGTGCCCCCAAATTCAAATAAATTACAAAACTTACTCTGTTTTCCTTCTTTGTTTGTCCTCAAAGATGTCATTGAGATTGATTGCCACCTGCCCTAAAAATTTATCCAGACCCACCAGGGACCTGTGCATAACTATGAGGAAAAGAATGTATTTCTCTGGATTCCCCTGCATTAGCAACCCAGGCAGCTCAAAGGAGGCCTCTTCCTTCCACACTGGCTCAAGGGTTTTTTCAGCTACAGAGGTGGAGTACTTTTCCTTGCCCAGCTGAATTATAGTGTATGTGTCATTGGTGCCACTTTTGCCTTTTGGCTTCAGATCTTTGGCTTGGAGCACTGTGACCTGCACGTGGGTTGGAAACCACTTTTGGGCTTGCTCGGACAGCATCATTCTGCCCTTTTTCTCTGCGCCGGGTTCTGGAGCGCAGGGAGTGCCCCTCCCGTAGGGAGAGCCTAATTCCGTAAGCACTGCATCCTAAGGACACTCGACCCGGCCGGACCGGCTCGGGCTGCCCAGCTACCCTAGGGCAGATGTCAGAGCGCCTCGCGGGGGAAGCCCGGGGGCACGGCTGCTCTGGGGGTCCCTTTCCTCTGGAGAAGCACAGGGGCCCACATCACCTGGCCGCACCGTCCAGGCCTCCGCGCGGACCCGCGCGACTCGCGTAGCCACCGTCCCCCGGTGCCCGCCCGGGGACGGCCCTGGGCGGCGGCGGCTCCGGGGCCTGCGGGCAGGTGAGGCCTGGCCGCTCAGGGGCTGTGGAGGTGGGAGGCGCGCCCGGCCTCCCGCCTGCCTCCTGCGGCCAGGCCGCCTACGCCTCCCCACGCCTCCTGCCCGCCCCGCTCGCCCGCCGGCCGGCCCGGCTCCTCCTCCCAACCCCGGTAATACGAACCGCCGGCGGCTCGCGCGGCCTTGCTCCCTCTCGCAAACCTCTCCCTCCTCCTCCCCCTCGCCTGGGCTCCTCCTCCCGGACGGAGGCGGGTCGCCCGAGGGCGGAGTGGGACGGGGCGGGGGACGCGGACGCCCCGGCGCCGGCGGGGCGCGGGGCGGGCCGCGAGCTGCAGGGCTGCGGGCGCGGGGCTCGGCCTGGCCGGGCCAGCGGCTCCTAGCACCGGGCGGGCGGCGGCGGCGGCACTTCCGGGTTCGCCTTCTCCATGTTGATCCTGGGAACGCGAGGGGCGGGGCCGGGCGGGGCCGCGGGGTCAGGGGTCGGCGCCTCCCTGGTTGCCGTGGAGACCGGGGCGCGCGGCGAGGGATGCGGTGCCTGAGCGCTCCCGCTAGGTTCTCGGTGCTGCTGGGGCCTGGCCAGTGCTGGTGCTTGCATGGTACGGACCACAAAGGCCGACAGAAGGGTCCTGGAGAGATCTCCAGGATAGGAACCACTCCTGAGAGAAATCACCAGGCCCTGGGGACCGCCCGAGCTGGGGAGAGACCCAGTTTCAGTCTTTGAGGGCGGGGAAATCTGCCCTCGCTGACACAGCTGGAGTTCCCTAGTAGATGGAATGGGTCCTCTAAATGTCGGAAACAGAATTTCTCCAACCTCTTATCAATCCTTTTTGAAAAGAGAAGATCCCATCAATTTAATAAAATGGACATACTCCACCCAGTCTTTGGGGGAAAGGAAGCAAACAGAAGATGTCAAAACTAACACAGACATTAATTAAGACCTCAGGAGGCACTGAACTGGCATCACAAGACCTGATACTGTTCTGATCTTTACCACGATCAATCTATGAGACTTTGGCTGAGACACTTCCCCTCCCTGAACCTAGGTTTTCACTTAAGTAGAACAGGTCTCCATAGTGTCTCAAACCCCATCATGACTGTTGGGACCAGCCGAAAGCATCTACCCCTGTACACTAACCACCAACTGCACTACCTGGATTGTGTGGAGGCCACGACCCAATTTGGGAAGAAGAGGCTGGAAGAAGTATACTGGAAGAAGTATAGGTGAACTTTTCCTAATACAATGGCACATAGTTTCAAGGCTCATTTTGCTCTTCTGGTTCTCAATTAAAAAAAAAAAAAAATTTTTTTTTTTTTTTTTGTTTTTTTTTTTTTTTTTATGTCCTGCCTTTATTTCTATTCATGTCTTTCCAAGGAATTCTTGGAAGTTTTTTAGACTACATTGTATATCATGGAAAGCCTTCATAAAGCTTAGCATGCAGTGTGTGTGCCAATTTATTGTATAACTTAGTGCCTTTTCTCCCATTACAGGACTAAAAATGCAATTTTAGAGAGTAAAATAATATGATAGATGTAAATGCACTTTTTTCAACTTAAAATGGCCCCCAAATGGGCAAGGTATCGTGTTTATTGTTTTCAGGCTAAATTTTAAACTTCTCCAATCGAGGCAGAATTTTCCATCCCTGGGAGAGAGCGAATGAAAAGGCCATGTGTGGAAAGCAGAACAGAATTATCGCATTGCGCATAGCATCTGGATCCCAGAGTGGGCAGTTGTCAACTTTAAAGAAAAATATTCTTAGGGATTTTTAAAGAGTACATTGGAACCATCAGTGGTGGAATTTCACCAGGATCTCTAGGGAGAAATAATTTGACACCTGAAACTTACAAAAGCAAAATAAGCATCATGAAATCCAATTTAATTAAGTTTAAAAGTTTTATAAATTGCATTTTTAAAGGCTTCAAGTCTCTATTAAATGCTGTAATTAAATAAACAATAGATGATTAATTATAATAGTGAATGTGTGTTTCTAAAGAGCTTAAATTGTTTGGTAAGCTTTATTAATGATTATAAACTTGTTTACAAGTATCATTTCACTCATCTCTGAAATATGGCCATCTCTGGGGTAGAAGCTGGCAGCTGTAGTTCGCAGCAACGCAATAACAGACTCCAACACAATTCAGAGAATACTCTAAAGGCAAGAGCTAACCAAATGGAATTGCTAACCTTTCTTCCTGTAGCACCTAAATTTCTTTCTGAGTTTCCTAAAACTTGAATAGAGCCAAGATCATTCAATTTCACTGCTGGCAAGATCAGACATTATGACTTAATATTTTTAAGGCAGAACAAGAGAATAGCATATTTTTGCCCATGGGGAAAGCAAATAAACAAATGAGTTAAGAAGAATCTTGAATTATGTTATAAAAGGGAAGAAATTTCCTAGTGTTTCTCTCATTTCATTATATTAAGAAAATAAAAACTTGTTAGTTGGGTCAAGTATATGGTTGACTCATAATGAAAAATAATGTCAATTACATAAGATCTGGAATCAAAGTGGTTCTGCCAAAATATTTTACTAAGATAGACATGGACAGTAACTTTAAAATGATACAAAGGATTGCGTGCATAAGGACAACATACCAGAATTGAAGAGAGCCACATTTTTTTATTGTTATCCTATTACTAATGATATGTCCGGAAATGTTTGGTACAATTCCAAAATCAAGGGCTTGGGAAAATAACATTTTATGGGAGGAAAATGCTGAAAATTCTAATTTTAAACTGTTACAATTCTTGCTGCAATGAATAAGGATGATTTTACCAGAAAGTTAAAATAGTCAACATTATTCCCTAGGAGTAGAGGATTTCACAGATGAAAACATTTATTAAGTGCTGCACCTTTCAGTGACGTCCCGGAAGGGAACTTACTCCAAGCATTGCGGAAGATATTCCCTTTGGACATTAGCATCTCTAAAATCTGGTCTGCAAATCTATTGTAGGACAATTATGATGCTCTCAACATTTAAATAGCCCACTGAGTCAAGAGTGCTAATGCTCTTATACACATTATGTAATGGGTATTAATTCTTTTCCAGATGGAGATGTAAAAACATCAGCAAGAAGCTTTCCTAAGGTATCATTACAGCCTTCTGCCTTCAGGTACATACACACACTTCAAATACATGTACAACTGAGAAGTATATAAAATTCACAGGGGCTGGGGATGTGGCTCAAGCGGTAGCCCGCTCGCCTGGCATGCGTGGGGCGCTGGGTTCGATCCTCAACACCACATAAAAATAAAATAAAGATGTTGTGTCCACCAAAAACTAAAAAATAAATAAATAAATAAATATTTAAAAAATTCTCTCTGTCTCAAAAAAAAATTCATATATGTATACACAGCAGAGTTACACTGGAGGCAGATCAACGGAACCAGTCACAAACTAAAAAAGTATTGGACAAAATGATCTGAAGTTACAATGGCAATGAACTAGAGTTGGGAAATTTTGGTAATTGTTTTGTTTTGTTTTCATCACTGGGCTGATGAATGTGTCTTCGGGGATTGGGCAGTGTATGGATGCAGTCTGTGATGCATGAGAAGCAACGTGGTATGCGGTGTACAGAGCTCGAGTCAGCAGCCTGGATCTTAATCCCAGGTCTGCCTATTACTAGCTACATCGTATCTTTGGGGAAGTAATTTTTCTTCTCTGGGCCATCTGTAAAACAAGTCTGTAATAGCAGCCATCAAAGCATCGTCTAACATTTAATAATCCTATGTAGTACATCCACAGCACAAAGAAGCAAATTGCCTTATAATTATCTAATTGAATTTGGAAAATAAACTAAAGTAGATTTCCTTTTTATGTAACTTATTAATGAAGGATCCTCTAATTCAGGAAGAAAAAAAAATATTCTTCAAGATGTCCTAACAGTTCTCTCTACCAAATGAAAGTAATTAATGATCACAGAGGAAATAAATATAACTTTTATTAATAGGCCCTGCATGAGGAAATTGACACCAACAGCTCAAGATTTGGAAGAAATTACATGTAAGTGCTAGTCTTTTGAAAAGCCTTAAACTTTTTACTTGTAGCCCTAAAGATAACCTCGGTTCATATTATTTGTAGCTTCTTAAAACTGTGAAAACATGCTGAGGAGAGTAAAAATTTAGGGAGTAGAATATATATGTGTACATAAGAATGTTTTGTGTGGATGTCTGTATTCTTTTTTTCATGATATACTATTATGTTATGCAATTTTGTCACCTCAAAAAATCAATGCACATTGATGCATACAACACAAATTGATGAGATGACTAAGCCCCATTTGATCTTTTGTCCTTCCAAAGGACAGTTGTTTCCAATTTTTCAACTATCATAAGCAATGCAGTATAAACATGTAACTTATGTCTCCTATGTACACATGCAGGGACTTGGAGGTAGCATTGGTAATTATACCTTTTTATGACAGCTGACACTGAAATCATGGGAAATTTGTGGGTAATAGGGTGGAAAACCCATGGACTTGTGCAATAGACCTGAGTTCTAATTCCAGTTCTGCCAACTGAAGAGCTATAGCCCTGGCAAGCCTTGATCTGTCTATTCCTCAGTAAGCCCTTCCAACTTCAGAATTTTCAAAGTCCTTTTATTATATTTACTGAGAAGCAGAGATAATTGTTCTTGAGATAAAAATTTTTGAGAATACTTAGATATTTGTCTCCAAATTTTAATTGTGTTACCATCATGAGTCTTTCTAAAATCTTCCAGAACATTGGTACTTACAGAAATTTAGGAGAATCTTGTTGCTGAAAGAAATGATTATTAGAGTTTTAGAATCTCATCATCTTTATACTTTGTGAACATTGGTTAATTAATTAATTAATTAATTTTTAGAAAAGATCCCTCTTTGTTGCTGAGGGTCCCACTAAGTTGCTGAGGCTGGCCTTGAACTTGTAATCCTCCTGCTTTAACATCCTGGGTCACTGGGATTATAGGTTGATGCCACCACCCCCAGCTCCTGTTAATTTTTTATATATAGTTAAAATCCAAAATAGGATTTAAAAAAAATAGTAAACAATTGAATTATATTTCTGGGATATTCTGAAATACATGATGTTTCTAGAATAAATGGAATAAATGTTCATTTGGAAAGCATTTAACTGTTCAGGGGTGGCAAAAACATTTGGTGGTGGAATTTCTCCCCACTACAGCAGATTTAGTGCTTTCTATTTGATCTTGTTAAACAAAGTAAAGAACTTTTAAAGTATTTGCTATATTTGTTATAATTTTTCCTACTTGTTATATTTTATATATTGATGTAAAGCCTAGGGGGGAAATAGCACTTTGAGGGAATAGATGGAACTCTTCTTGTTTCAGGGTCAAATTTTAAACAATTTTTCCTAAAGCAAAGTTCAATCAACCTGAACAATGTCTTATTTTATCTGAATATCTGATAACACAAATATTTTTGGCTTATCTTTATATCTTCTGAATTAAGTTATTTTCAGAACACCTTTAGATTATAATATAGGGAGGATGGTTCCCAGCCTGTATTATAAACATTTTCTAGCAATTGGAGTATCATGGATGACCTGCATGACCAAAATTAAACAGAGGATTCTCTTTGGGCATTGCTCACATCAAGATGTGGCAGGACACTTGGACGAAAGAT